GTCCAGCACAACTGGGTGGTGCCTGGCTACCACCACTGACTGCTCTGACAGGGATCACAACAGACGGTCCTGAACAGAGCAGGAGAAAAATGTAGAACAAAATTCTAACTCACATACGCACAAAAAGACCAGAATTACTAGTCTGACAGGCCCATAAAACAAAATGAGACTATTTTTACATTATTTAGATGGCTGTTCAGATTATGTAATCCAGAAGTGGTTCGGGAACCTAAATTACCTAATTATTTTGGGACTTCACTGTATTTAGTATGCAAGCACAGACAATAAGTGAAATTGTAAGGTGAATTTACAAAAAAATGAAGTTAACATATGTATTGCAAAAATGATTATTGAATACATGTGTATTAGTTGTAGATAAAGCACATTGTAGTACATATTATTGCGGTATACGAAAGAAAGCAAAGGATAATCAGAAATTTCTGGATTACTATAAAGGACTTACCTTTTGTTTAAAATTTTTATGTTAAGTTCCTTTCAATACTTTTATTGTTGTAGTTTAAGTGAAAGTGTACAATTCAAGTCAGTCTCTCATACAAAAATTTATACATACACTATTATGTGAACCCAATTGCTTTCCCTATACTATGACAGCACACTCCTTCTTTCCACCCCTGATTTCCCACGTCCATTCAACCAGCTCCTAAGCCTCTCCAACTTCTCATCTCACCTCCGGACAGGAGCTGCCCATTTAGTCTCATGTATCCACTTGAGCTAAGAACCATACTCTTCACGAGTATCATTTTACGTTCCACAGTCCAGTCCAATCTTTGTCTGAAGAGTTGGCATAGGGAATTGTTTTAGTTCTGGGTTGACAGAGAGTCTAGAGGCCATGCTTTCTGGAGTTCCTGCAGTCTCAGTAAGACCATTAAGTCTGGTCTTTTTACTAGAATTTGAGTTCTGCACCCCACCTTTCTCCTTGTCCATCAGGGACTCTTAGTTGTGTTCCCTGTCAGGGCGGTTATTGGTGGTAGCTGGGCACTATCTAGCTCTTCTGGTCTCAGGCTGATGAAGTCTCTGGTTTATGTGGCCCTTTCTGTCTCTTGGGCTATTAGTTTCCTTGTGTCTTTGGTGTTCTTCATTCTCCTTTGCTCCATGTGGTTGGGACCAATTGATGTATCTTAGATGGCCACTTGCTAGCTTTTAAGATCCCAGATGCCACTCACCAAAGTAGGATGCAGAACATTTTCTTAATAAGCTTTGTTATGCCAATTGACCTAGATGTCCCCT